CCCCCCGCCACTCAGAAGAGTGAGTTGAAGGAGGTCAGAAAAAGAGACAAAAAGACTTTGTTCCTAATATTCCAAGGCATAGATGAATCATCGTTTGAGAAGATCTCCAACGCCCTCTGTCTTCTAAAGAAGCATGAGAGATTTTACAAAAATCCTATCAAGGTGCGAAAAGAGCCAAAAATGTACGCCTCCAAGCATTAAGAGTTGAATTTAAAAATTTAAAGATGAAAGCTACAGAATCAATATCAGACTATTTTAGTAGAGTTCAGACAATAACTAATCAAATGAAGAGGAATGGAGAAGATATTAATGATGTAAGAATTATGGAGAAGATACTTAGGACTTTAGACTCTAAATTCAAATACATTATTCCGTCAATACAAGAGTCTAAAGATCTCTCCAAAGTTTCTATTGATGAGCTACAAGGTTCTCTGCAAGCTTATGAACAAGATATAAACATCAGTTCAAATCAAGCGGAGAATCTAGAGCAAGCATTGTTGGCCTTCTTGTTTTGATGATGTTTAACAAACAATTTATAACTAATGTTGTTTGTCTAGTGTTTGTGTTTTTCGTATTTACTCTAGGCAAACAACGAGTTGGAGGTTGGATGGATTGAGCCTACACGATCATATCAAGAGGAGGTTGGCGGAATTGTGGAGTGAAGCAACGTACAATTCAAGTTAAAGATCAAGTTCAAGCTTCATCCGCAAGTGTACCAAGTCAAGCTTAATTGAAGATCAAGATTGCTTGGGTAATATAGTTTTAGATTTTATATTATGTGTGTTATATACTCTAAGCTCAATATCTATACACACACTTTATTGGTTTCCTTGTACATATTATATAGTTATATATATAGTTATATATATACATGCATATGTTTTGGGTTTTCATGCTTATATATATGAAATTATATATTTCATATTTTCTATTGTGTTTTTGAAAACATTGCATAGAATATGCAATTTTGTAAAAATATTATATTCTTAGTTTGTAGACCTCAATATCAGTTTATACATGTTTTACTAAGTCTACAAAAACATTTCACAAAGTTTCAAAAGTTGGTTTATGTCAAAACATCAAAATTCAAGTATCTCATATTTTCATGTTTTGGACTAGTTTGTAACATGATGATATTTTTCATTTGGGAAGTCCTTTTTCGAAACCAGTCATTGTAGCATGTTTATTATCATGTCTACAATCATTCCCCAAAGTTTTACATTTTTTGGAATTTATTTGATATTTTTAAACAGTGTTTTAAAATCAGACAAACAGTTTTTCAGAACCTGTCATATCTGTTTTCGGTCGACCGCACCGGTCGACCGAACCTGAGGTCAAAAGTTTCAGTATTTTTCCAGAGAGTCGTCAGTCGACCGGTCCGGTCGACCGAGAGCTCAAATCGGTCGACCGACAGAATTTCCGGTCGACCGACGATGGTCCAGAACGTTTTTTTCGTGTTTTTGCTTTCATCGGTCGACCGACGGAATTTACCGACAATATGACCGTTGGACTTCTAACGGCTATTTCTGAGCTGTTTTTATGGGGGCTTTTTTGGTCATTTTGCTCTGGTTTTTGCTGAGGTTTCTAGTGGGTATATATACCCCATTGCTGATGTCTTTTCAGATTGATTAAGAGAGTTTTAAAAACAAGTTTAAGAAAGTTTTAAACAAGGGTTTGAGTTTGTTTAGTTTGTTTTTGGGGTTTGCTGTTACAAAGAGGAGTTTGCATCACCAGTTGAGGATTTCATCCTCAAAATCTTCTCATCCTCTCTTTGTGTTTATAGAGAAGTTTTCTAACTCTTTTCCCTAGCAATTTCATTATTGATTTATCATATATTAATTATTGCTAGTTTGCTATTTGAGTTAGATTTCATTTTACTCATTGTTACACACACCCACATTGAGCTTTTAGTATTTACATACATAGTATAGTTGGGTGGTGAGAGATTGTAACTTTGAGTTGTGCTTTCATTGTGTTCTCATCTATTGTAGAGAACAAATTTATATTTGTTACATTGTGAGTGTTGTAAGGTTTTCGGTGAGCTAGAAACCGAGTGTGTAGTGAGGTTTTCGGTGAGCTAGAAACCGAGTGTGAGGAGTGACGTTGATCGGTGAGCGTTGAAAACCGATACTGTGAGGTGTAAACGTTATTCGGGTGAACGTAGAAAACCCGGTTGATAGTGGATTTCTCCCCGGGAGTGGGGAGCGGAGACGTAGGACGGAAGGTCCGAACTCCGTGATCATATCTTGTGTTTGAGTGTGCTTTGGCGTTTATTTATACTTGTGTTTATAATTCTTGTTGCCATTGTCATTAGCTCATCATTTATATGATCCACTATCTAGTTCATATTGTTTACCCTTGTGTTAGTTTATATATCCTTACATATATATATAT